ACATTTTTGTTCACATATTACATAAAACCTACAACCCTATATGCAAAATTGAGTTATTTATTCTGTAGTAAAGCATTATGCTACCTATTTCACCAATTGAGTAAAAATATAAACATTGCAGGCCTACTCTGAAACTGAACTGTGTAGTAGTATTTCTTATTAAAAATACTCCTTTATAAATCACGTAATCATCTCTAACAACATGAGGAGTAAGTCACCAAGACCTACACATTAAGATAAGTCACGTTTTCTCTCTGTAAAAACAAACATATGATGTCAAAAATTCTTAAGCGGCTGAAACTTGGTGCTTTGAATAGCTTACACTTGACTGTTGATATTCACAAACCACAATAAATTCGCTTTACATTGAAATAACTGTTGCTAACACACATCAAAACTAGCTAAATTAAAAGCTAACGTTAGCTTACCAAGGTTGTGCAGTGCAACTCATTGAGATGAAACGGCTTTCCAGGCGGTCGACTTCTACTTAGTTTAATCTTTGTGAAGCTTAATGTTGGTAAATGGATTAATATGGAGCTAACTATGACTACTAGCTCAACACGCCGATCTCCATGACTTTTCCTCGTCCAGGCAAACTGCACTGCAATACTTCCTGTCAATAAGTAAATGATGGAAATGGCTGGAACAAAATATCAGACTATTATCACAACTATAATGTCGAATAACAGCTAAATCAAGTCAATCATGTTGAAATGTGTTTAATTACTTTGTAGCTTTTATTTTTGATGCTGGGACATTTTCATAGTTCAATCAGTGCATGAGATATTACCATGTTGAAATAATAATGAGGGTGAGTTTGTTAGAGAGTCCTTTGAGGATATCAAAGAAACACACACTGAATGGTTCAGTCAATTGTGCAAGGTGTCAGACAAAAAATCCCAACAATCAGGTTCTGTTGCAGACATTAGCTCATGATTGTATGTTGTTATCATGATTCTGAACTAAGAACAACTTAAGAAGTGTCTGCTTTGTACCATAGTAAGCGGAATCATATTATATAGAATCATACCAATATCAGTTTAAATAAAACTATAAAGTAACCAACCAGACCGAAACTTATCACAGACTTTGATACACTTTTTTGATAATTCACTAACATGTTTTAACATTGAACTTCAGCAACTTGTTGTGCACCGACAGAAATGTTAAGAGAGTTTCATTTCTATGTTGTTTTATGGTTGTTTTGTCACTCACCTGTCATTCCAGGTTTCCTGATTATCCACCTCTTGTGTGTCTCCCGTGCTCATCAGCACCAGCCCCGCCCCTGATTGTTCCCACCTGTGTCTTCAATCTCAATCTCAATCTTTATTTATTTATATAGCACATTTAAAACAACCTTCAGTTGACCAAAGTGCTGTACAGGCAATAAATATTAAATAACACAATGGGAGTACAATAATAAAACAATAATTAAAAACATGATAAAAAGCACAATAACTAGAAAAATATTTAAAAAAACACATACAAATGTAAAAATGTAATGTTCAACTAGTATTAAAAGCCAGTGCAAAGAGGTGAGTTTTTAGCTGAGATTTAAAAAGTTCAATAGACTCAGCAGTCCGGATATGTAATGGGAGGCTGTTCCACAGTCTGGGAGCTGCAACACTGAAAGCCCTGTCACCTCGGTTTTTTTCCTGCACCGAGGAACCACCAACATATTTTGCTGAGCTGATCGCAATGCTCTAGCTGGAGCATGGCGGTGCAACAACTCAGAGAAGTTATTGTGTCTTGTTATCATGTGTTTAAATTCCCCTGTCTCCCATGTGTTCTTCGTCAGTTCGTCTTGTCTCATGCCTTATAGGTCAGATCTATGCTCTCCTTGATACCAAGATGTTTTTGTTCCTCACTACGTGAGCGATTTTCTTTTGTTCACTTTTTGTCATCTCATCTAGAGATTTGATAGTGTTTATTTCTGTTCATCTTTTTGAAAATAAAGTATCTTACAAATACTTTACCTCTGTCTCCTGGGTCCTATACCTTGAGTTTCTGAGTTCGTAACACAACTCTTGCAGCATTATGTGTATTGTATCTTTCTGACAACATTTGATGTCTTTTATGAAGTTTTTTTTAGTTCAACTTATTTTGTTTTCAATTGTTTTGTGTCATTGCCTATGTAAAGCACTTTGAATAGCCTTGAGTCTGAAATCTGCTATAAATAAAGTAACCTTAACCTTACCATAACATACTATACAACCAGCACAGCCCCTAGTAGACACCCCCCCCCCCCCCCCCCCCCCCCCCCCCTCCCCTACACACACCACAACACAGACTATATCACCCCTTGCTGCTAAATACCAATCAACTATGTGCAATATGTGCTATATGTGCAATATATATATATATGCCGTTAATAACTGTGTAATTTATAACTGGCTGCTAATCCTTAGAACCGTTACAAGGTGTGTTTTTTTTTTTTTTTGCATTTTGTATCTTGTAAATTGTGTAACTTGCTGCAGTTAAATACCATCATACTATGTGCAATATGTCCTATATGTGCAATATATACATTATATACATAAGCCATTAATAACTGTGTAATATATACCTGGCTGCTAAATCCTAAGAACTGTTACAGGATCTGTATTTTGGAAAGTATTTTTTCTTTTACTTTTATTTTTTATATTATATTTTTTTATTATATCATAACTTAGTACTTTTTTCTTAACATAGGTAACATTAAGCTGTCTGTGGCTCTTTCCTGCTGTAACGATGCAAATTTCCCCTCTGTGGGACTAATAAAGGTATTCTGATTCTGATAAACTTCTTTCAATCTCCCATGTTCTAGTGTGACCTCTTTCACTCCTGTTAACAGATCCTCACATGACCCCTCTGCTTAATTAACACGGTAATAAAAGGAAGGATAGAACATGACCCTATAAAGAAACATTACGTTGGATTTGTGCATCGCACCATTCATGTGTCCATCACAGGCCATCTGGAACACTCCCCTCAGTTAACACTTTTTGCCCACACAATGAGTTTCAGTTTAAAATCAAACAACTTTATTGACAGAGATAACATAAAATGTGTGTTATGTGAATAAAGTTGTCAATTTATATCATAAAGGAGGGTGGCACAGCGGATGTGCTAATGTGCTTGGAAAACAGGATGATGAATGTACTCTGATTAAAACAGTGGAGGAGGATAATCACAGTTAAGGCCACTGATCTCTGAGCGTTAATTATTTTAACCTTTATTTATCTGGGTGAGGTTTGCCTACACACATTGACATTTGGGAGCTGCCAGCTGGAAGCAGCAATTCCAGTCATCCACTAAGCAGTTAGCATGGTCTACTGAGGCATTTGATAGTTCAGTGCTGTGCTCATCGGCACTTTGGCACTAGATATCTGTGTTCACTTTCCAGATTTCCGTCACTGGAGAAGGGGCTTACATGACTCAGGATGGCGTTGATTAGATGCAAATTATATTTTTGTAAATCAAATTGTGTTGTGACTCACTATGTATTGTACTGTCTATGAAATGATTTGCTTCACAAATGATACAAAAAAAAAAAAATGCATCTGGTTATGTTTTCGTATCAGTCTTCCTAGAATAAATGTCACTTGAGTAAAGTATAGGATTTATGTCTAGTGAGCATGACTTATGTCTCTAGAAACTACAATTCTTCCTCCCAATCAATTTAATGTGGTCAAAATGGAGACCCTAAAGAAAAAGGAAAGCCACCCATTGTGTTTTGATGGCTGTGATCATATCACACAGCCTGGACTGTGACAATGACCTCTGTCTGACCTCGTTGATACTGCTCCCTCTCTCAATCACAAACACACACACATACACGCTGACACACATGGTCTAGTGGTGTTGCTGATGTTGGCACATGTGTGCTCATTGGCACTGATTAGCGCTTTATCCTTCCCCTGCAAACACCAGCCAACATCCCTCTGCATACCAATGGACTACACCAACCACAGAGACAGAGACAGGGGACAAGGGGAAAGGAAGGAAAAATAAACTGAGAAGAAAGCAGTATTAACAATAAGACAATTTGGCATAATAGTACATTTTGTCACAATAAAAGTCATTTTTGTTGATCTTAAAGTCTCTATGACCTTCAGGTAAACGAGACCAACTGCAGGGTTCTTATGACTGTTGAGTTGCCACTTCCTTTCATCTGCTGTATCTTTCTGACTCACTAAAACAAAAGTACACTGTGGTCGTTATTGCTGATAATGCTGCTCAAACTGACAGCGTTGTCACAAAAACAAACCTGCCATCGTCTGGTGCCCACTTAAGTAAATACACTTAGATTAGAGGTTTTTTCCTGCATTGTTGTCACTGTTGGCAACATTAGCTGCTAGCCGCCAGCCAGCCATCGCTGTTTTTTTTTTACCTTTTTCTAAATGGAGCAACTGTAACGTAAGTATGTCAGATTCTGACACAACACTTTAAATTATATTGTCCTGCGGAAAGAGGCAACAAATCAGAAAACACAAATATGTGTCGCTTGAAGGGAATGGATAAAATAGCAAATCCTGTGGTTTCATTTAGAGAATATTATTGTCTATTGTTCAGACTGTGATTATATTCTTTAGTCTCGGATTGGCGTTTTGGGGCATTATAAGGCTACAGTATGTTCCCTATCAACATTACAGTCTTCATACTGTGAAATTGTCTTTTGATAAGTATATATATTCTATGAAGCAGCAGAATAGGTTATTAAAGACATTTAAGACGTGAAAAGAGGGAGAAAACACGTTAAAAATGTAAAGAAACACTTTAATAAACCAAGTTTGGTGAGGAGAGTCTCCACTGATTTATACCACTGCACACTTCAGTGAGCTACAACCTTATGTCAACTCAGCATTTTGAACACTATGGTTTTGTTAACTACGTAGGATCACACTGAGCTTTTCCTGTGCTCACACACACACACACACACACACACACACACACACACACACACACACACACACACACACACACACACACACACACACACACACACACACACACACACACACACACTCAGAGACACACACACACACACACACACACACTCAGAGGTCTGTGAAAGGTACAAGTCTTTTGAGAGCAGAGCGACTGTAGCTGCATTTAGTTGGAGATGGACAGCAGTTGAATCCTCAGAAGTTAACATTCACAGCCACATCGATGGGCTTCAGATGTGTCAGATGACGGCCTCGTGAATGAGTCACAGTCCGTAGTCTGAGGAAAGCTGATAAGACCCGGCGGAAGACCTGCTTTTCAACAGGAGACAGATGGAGTTGGAACAAAACACATCACACACACACACACACACACACACACACACACACACACACACACACACACACACACACACACACACACACACACACACACACACACAAGAGGGACACACAGACAAAAAGAAATCAGAGAATGCTTTCTAATGTCATTGTAAAAACTTGTCTGTGACCGTTGGTAAACAGATGTGCAAATGCTAATATTAAATAAAGACACACAGTTTTGCTTTGATGTATCAAAGTATAAAACACCGTAAAAGCAATTGTGATCTAAACAGATGACCACACTTTAAATATAACTTCAAATTCAGATGGGTGTTGTTACACAAACAGAAACAGTACAAGAAGTGAATACATATCACAATAGGGAGACCGGCTGTATTTGGAGACAAACATGGAGGGAGACTTTTGGAGCTGGTCTTACAAAGCAACACTTTTGCCAATTCAATTCTTCACATTGGCATAAGGAGTGTTTCGTGAGCAAACTATGCCAATTGCTTCCCCTGTTGAATTGCACAACGTCTCGAGACAGCTTGATGCCATATGTGACTGCCTGGATATGAACCAGGGTCTTTAAGCCAGCAAAAGACTCAACTGTTTAGACATTACTAGAACATCTCTATTAAAGCCATACTGTTCCTAAACAGCCCGTTTGGGCAAGCATGTTCCATTTCTTTATGTTTTTTACAAACGTGAGCCAAACCCTTGTCGTTATCACTTGTAGCAACATCCACCATATTGTTTTCACCATTAGGAAAAACAGATGAGGCTCTGACATGATGGCACACATCATTTTTGGCATAATTAATATGGTGGGATGGCCTAATTGTTTTCCACTCTTTTGTTTGCCATTTACCGAGTTATTTATGCATTTATCCATGTTGAATATCTTGTGAAAATCTCCAAGAAATGTGTTTTGTTCCATGGGTTTCTCGCGCTAATGCAACAGATGGATCCCCTGCAGCCAAGAAAACATATACCACTAAATAAAATATTCATATAAAAAAAAAAGGAACACCAAAATCCAATTAAAAGAGGTGTACTTGTCATGCGTTACAATACTGAATTGATTTTGAGTCACTTGGTCACATAAAATGGAAGCTTGTTTCCCAAGCAGTTAGAATCGAAAAACACTTTTTGTTCAAACCAAAGACTTTTGCTTTTGTAAAGCCAACAAAAAAAAGAACCAACCTTCAAATACTGAGTATAGCTCTTATTAGAGCCCCAGGTACTTAACAAAAGGTCCCTTGCTCTTCAGTCATGGGCCCAGGATTAGTTCCCCGTGGTGATAAAGCATCCACCCTGCCAAGGGGTCCTTGAACAAGGCACTTAACCAGGTGTGAATGTAAGGAGCACCTTAAAGAGAGGGATAAAACATTGTTGTCAGCACTGTGGTTGACTAAGCGCTTTAAAAAACACAATTTCCATTCAATTAAATTGTGCCAGTGCAGATTTTTATACCATAATTGCTTATTATACGGTTTAACCAAGCAAACACACTGAGCTTCATTGCTCCCCTTTCCCACTACAATAAAGATCACGCTCGGTTCGAGAAATAACACCCTAAAGCAAAGTCTTCACTGTGATTATAGATATGATGATGATGTTGATGGCTACCATCTGCAGCACCTAAGCACCTACAATCAAAGTCTCAAACAACAGACATGCTGCAGGGTGTAATTGCTTTAATACAGTGTTTTCTGACACAAGAGGCATATGATTATTTTTGTATACAACATCTACGCCCTAAAATAAAAACAGTGTATTTTTTTGGTTTGCAAATGTTTTCATTTAAAGAGGAATTAACACTTTTAACCCGTGGCAAAACACACCTTGGGTTCTGTCACTGCTATGATATGCTGGCAAGTTTATTTGTATATGTATCCATTGGGAAAGAAAGTAAATTGGTGTGAACAATATACACATGTGGCACTGCTGTGAATAATTGTCATCCAGCATAGTGTCTAAGTACCATGACACAAAGACAGAGGAAGTAATTGTTGATACCCCTGCAACCTTTAAAAACACATCGCTAAGCTTTTCTGCTTCCTTTTCTGTTTGGCTCTTCACTAAATATATCACAGAACTGTTTCTTACACTAGGTAACTCCTTCCATGGTACCCAAGCACACTCATTTAATTCAAGGCGCTGTACATTCCTACAAAATAATCTCCTGGGAGAAGATTTAGTGATTGATCTTCTCCAGGCTTTTCTCTCCTTCACGAAATTGTCACAGCGAGAAGCCCTGTGAGGCAATAGAAAAAAAATCTGGTGATCCATTTTTTAAAGTCTGATCTAAAGTGTTTCTCAGCTGTGTTTATGCCTTAAGAACAGGTGAAAAAAAACTTTTGCCATCATTTTCTTCTAAGTTCCTTTTTTTCTTCTGTGAAAATAGGTGTGGAGAATTAATGACGGCCCTATCTTTCTTTAGCTAAAATGTAATGTTACATATCTTGCAATCACACAAATTGAGAAATTAAAATTCACCTGAAAGCATGTTTACTTATTTGTGAGTGGTGGGCTTCAGCCTCTTGTGGCCAAAATAAGTATTACAACAACAAACATGTAAAATAATGGTAAAAAATATATATATATATCAACATGCACGTGTGTCAACAGACGGAGAGAAATGTAACTTCCAAAACCTATCGTGCAAAAGAGTTTTCACTTGTATATTAAGTCATAAAATCAGGAGAGAAAACAGTGAAACTCTTATTTATTTCCCTTTCCGTAGTGTACTGCTTCTAAAGAGAATACATTGCAGGAGATTTGATTGGTGCACTGCCCCACTGCTTCACCACCTTTTGAACCAAAGCTTTTGGACTCGAACGTACTAACTATCAGTTGTACTCCTTACAACAGGAAATTGGCTCGTTTGTACTGTACACCCAAGATAATAGTGCTCTTTTTTTTTACCTGACAGTTCTCTGTAGCCGACCATGCTCTCTGACCTCACTGGAAAGGCTCAAGCAAAAAGATTATTTTTCCCCTAGCAAGAATCAATATAGTATCAAAAAAAGCTTACACTGTATTTTCTGCTACCTTGGGTTGTTATTCACACTAGAAAAAAATATTAATTAATAAGTTGGAGTGTGCTCTAGTCTAGTAAATATTGTGATATACAGGTGGTACAGGTCTTTAAAATGTTGACAATGACATTGTATCATTTTCTGTGTGCTGACATCAGCTCTAACACGGAACACATCTGGTGCCTCAAGGGCTTATAACTTCACATGGTGCCATTTCTTCTCAAAAGACACTCTTTGTTATCATGGATGAATTACTGAATGGGTCTACCGGGTACAGGCACAATACACTCAGGGTGTTGGGGGGTCCCTCTGGCCTTCAACTGCTAAATGTCCCTCCAAAAGACATGTAGCAACCAGAGACACTTTTTTCTTTTCTTTTTTAAAACCATTTTTCTTTTTGTATTACTTTTAATATAGTATATTTTAATATTGGTTAATATTGTCTGCTTATCTGTATTATTGTGTTGCACTGTTGGAGAAGCCTGTGACATAAGATTTTCAACGACATAATTACTCTGTAGCTATGTTAGTTTGACAATAAAGAACCTTGAACCTTGAAAGTTATAAAATTACTATAGAAAAACATGCAATGACAACAGAGAGACCAAAACAACTATGAGGAGCCTGTCTTTAACTAGGAGCCCCTCTTAGTTCCACCTTTGCAAAACGACTATAAAGAGACACAAGCTGACCAAAGACTGACACACAATCCTTGCAAAGAGACAAAAGATGATATCAAAGAGACATTAATCGACCACAGAGAGAAACAAAAGGTATGGTCAGCATTACTGCAGGGGTACAGTAGATCACACATCATGGGGTTGTATAAAATGTCAGCTTGTATATAACACAGAGAAAAAGGTCCATGTATGGTATTCGTGCATGTTTGTATGCGAGTCAGTGACACAGACAGACACGTTCAATGACCCTCGATGCATACATTTGCGGACAGCTGTACGTGTGTCAGTCCATTTCATTTGCATGGTATAGCACTGCAGCGTATATGATTTAGTTAGTAATTAGGGAATAGAGACGTATCCAATTATTGGGGTTGTGAAATATCATCCTGTCTCAGTGGTTATTCCAGCACTGTCTGCACCCTGCATTATCATTACACCAGCTGCATATATGATTACAGTGTGAGCGTGTAAAAGAGTGGGAGAGAGAGGGAAAGAACCAGAGAAAGAGAGCAGGAGAGCAAATACAGTAAATATGTGTGTCCAGGAAAGGCGGCGTCTACAAAGGAAACTCATTTCTGCTCATTGTAGATTATAGGTGGCAGGACCACATGCCCGCAGGAGCTGAAGCCAAAGCCATTGCCGAGAGTCTCATGACACATCGAGTGCGTGTGTGGGGAGGCCAGGGTACTACTGGTACTACTTTTCTCTTCCTGTCTGACTTTAAGTACATGGACACACACACACACACACTCATTCAAAGGTAGGTACTACATCATCAATAAATTATACCACTCGTGCAGCGTTGTACATAAACTAAAAGACCATCAATCAGATACTGCTGCTCTCTCAAGGAGGTGTAAATACATAAAGGGGTAAACACACACAGCTGCTACAGTAGCATTGCTGTGTGTGTTTGTTCTTTGTGTGTGTGTGTGTGTGTGTGTGTGTGTGTGTGTGTGTGTGTGTGTGTGTGTGTGTGTGTATGTGTGTGTGTGTGTGTGTGTGTGTGTGTGTGTGTGTGTGTGTGTGTGTGTGTGTGTGTGTGTGTGCGTGTGTGTGTGTGTGTGAGTGTGTGGAGGTAAATGTGTAAACCTGCACAATCATATCTCACCCACTGAAACAGCCACCATCCGCTCTGCCTGTCACCACTGGAAACAAAGAACAGGGACCGTTGTATGTCAGCAACTGGAGAGCTGCTATCTCCAACCATCTGGGAAAGAGTAAAAGAAAGTGAATCTCTGAGGATGAAAATAAAAATAAAATACAGCTTTTAAAAGTGGAGGCAGACAGAACATTCCCTCCATAGCGTAGAGCTCTGTCATAAACCAAGAGATGGCTATCTGCTCTGGGAAGTGATGACAGACTCGACAGCAGCACAATGTGCATGTATCAAATATATTATGCATGCAAAGAATATATTGTGGCTGAAATTTTAATATGCATTTTAATTTCAGTCATATGTTGTTCCGAAGACACAACATCAATGCAAACTAAAAATATTATGGAGTGTGTATTAATCTCCCTGTGGACTCCTTTGTTTTGTTCCTAGCTCACAAACATACACCTGCCTCCAGCCCCTCCCTTTATAGTCTCCACCACACACACACACACACACACACACACACACACACACACACACACACACACACACACACACACACACACACACACACACACACACACACACACACACACACACACACACACACACGCACACGCTGACAGATATGAGGGAACGAGTGAAGCAGTAGTGAAGCTATTGAAGCAGGTGGAAATAATTTACAAGTTGCACATGGGAGCTGGAGGACGGAGCCTACTCTCGCATTCAGGAAGGTGGCGAACACATTTATCATGTCCTACAGTGCGCATGCTATAAGAGCTCACTTTTTGAGTATTTTGGCGATAGTATAAATGTTTATAGCACATCAGAGCGCAATAAAAACTCCAGCTTCTCTCATATGCCCGCCTTGAGATATGCATGCTCTTATCGCTGCTGACGGTTGCCTTGAAAAACTTGCCTGCACGGACTCCGCTGATCATGTAGAGAATTCCACAGCTCTCTGACAACAAAACCCATGCCACGGTAACTAACAGCCGCCTATCGCCGCCAGCCGCCCTGCGCCGACCTGATTGGACCCTCAAATTGACTGACGTGCTCCTCCGCGTTTCCCATTGGCGACGCGGTAATGGCCCCGTGACTGCGTTCCAATGAGACGCGCTGAAGGCGGAGCGCGTGGGCTGAGGCGCAGCTCTCCGTGGTACTTAAATGGAGCTGGTGCTGAAAAGAGTGAAGTACTAGCACGCACGACAGCCGGAGCGCCCGGTGCGCGGTGCGAAGAGTGAGACACATAAGTGTGAGAAGACAGAGGGAAGAACAAGAGAAGGAGGACAGAGGACCTTGCAGCCCTCTGTACTCATGGACCATAAGGATATTTAACCATTTGCCCGGGGAGAGTACAGGTATACTCTTTTTATCCACATTTTGCACCGTGCGTAAAGACGCAGGACTTGCATTCTCTAGCCTTACTCTTAAGCAGCTGCAACCCTCATACTATTTTTTTCTTCTCCTTTTTTTCTGCATGGGAATCGCAGGCTCGTTCACATTCCACTGGAATTAATGATTGACTAATGGGTGTGAAGGGAGCAAGGGGCAGCGGATCATTGATTGCGTTAGTGTACTCTTTCGGCTCAATAACACCAGAGAGCTCTTTCCCCTCAGTACAGGTGACTGCTGAGAAGTGATGAGTGCTTTCTTTGCCTCTTATCTATTGAGAAAAGGGATTAAAATTCAGCCAGGCGTCTGTGCATAATGTGTCTTGTTATATGAAAGCTCTATCTTACGCTATTGACACCCCTCTCTCTATCACTCTCTGCATCTTTCTCTCCCCTCGCAGACACCGCAGTCCATGCCTCTGCCTTGCCAGGTCATTGATGGGAAATCAACTGGATCGGATCACCCACCTCAACTACAGCGAGCTGCCCACGGGGGATCCGTCCGGGCTGGAGAAGGACGAGCTTCGGGTCGGCGTCGCTTACTTCTTCTCTGACGAAGAGGAGGAGGTGGACGACCGCACTCCGTCCGACTGCGGCTTCACCAAGGACCTCAGCCCGGCCGAAGAGGGACCATTCTCGGTCAACGAGGTGGAGTACTCAGCCTTCTGCTCCCAGGAATGCATCTTCTCCAAGCTGCAGGAGAACGAGGACTTGAATGTGTTCGCGGCCAAAACTTTGCTGACTATGTGCAAACCGGGGGACCTGCTGGAGCTAGTGGCCACGGCCCAAGCCCCCCACTGGGCCATATACGAGCAGGAGGACCAGGTCATTCACCTGCACAAGGGCGAGATCCGCAAGGACAGCCTGCTTGAGATCAGCAGTGGTCGCCACGGGAGGATAGTGAACAATCGGTACCGGTACCGGCCGCTTCCCCCTGACCTAGTGAGGCAGAATGCAGTGGGACACCTGGGCCTGAGCAGCGAGGAGATATGCTGGACCAACTCGGAAAGTTTCGCAGCGTGGTGTCGCTTTGGGAAACGGGAGTTCAAAGCTGGGGGAGAGGTGCACTCGGCGGAGCAGCAGTATTTCCTCAAAGTGCATCTGTCCGGCAGTGGGGTGCACACTCTGGTCTTTCGCAGCCTGGAGGACATGATCCGGGAGAGGAGGCGAGTGGACGCCAGTGGAATTCTCAAAGAGCTGTCTTTGGTTAACGGGGGCAAGGAGTGATCAGGGATTCCGTTTGATATCCCCCCCTTACCATTTCTCCCACACCCCCTCCCCATTGCGCACGGACGCACAAGCAAAGGCACACACAAGCACACAGACAGACGCACACACATGCAAGGACCTGTTGGTTTTGGACTGTCTGCTTGTTACGGATGGACCCCGGGCTGCGTCTGGACAACAGGCGCTCTGTGGAATTTGCATTAAATTTGCATTAGTGTTGAAAACTGCGAAAGAGCGGCCATATAAACAGACAACGCCCCTTCAGATAAGAATTCGTGCTGAGTGGGACACACGATTTCTGCTAAACCCATTGCCCCGAACTGCGAAAGTCACCTTTTACAGACCGCACATAGCGCACACGGCTCGGTTTCTGTTTAATTTCTCGGGATAATGGAATTGGCCCCCTCTCGGCGCAAAGGGCGCCTGCTGCGGCAGACCAGACGGTGAGAGGTGGGGAGGGGGGTGGGGGTGAAAGATAGGATCTGGGATGGCTATGGACAAGTCTCCCTTCTATTTTTTTACTGTTAGCTTTAAGACCGGGACTGACCATAACACAGATCCACTAATTCATAGACCTCTGACAGTCCCAGATGGCTACGCAGTTGCCTAAACAAAGCCTTTTGGCTTGATCGAGCTCCCCTTTTGCCATATCAAGAAGAGTATTGTCATTTTCACAATGCTGTCATCCTGCTCCACAGCACTGGATGTATGTGTACAATTGTATTCATATTGATTTCAATTTGAGTCCCTTATTTTTGTATTTACGTTTAGTGGATTTAACCCTGATCTCTGATTTTTGGTTGAAATAAATGGAGGTTGAAATATGAAAATAAGCACTGGGGTCTGGCAGGTGTTGTTTGGTCACACATAATTACTCTCACACAAACACATGATCTCTCACTCTCTCTCTCTCACACGTGCACATGGTGATATTAATTATTTATGCCCGAGTGCCTCCTGACCTGCCTTGAGGAAAATGGGCTTCATATATCTGCACAGTATTTGGAGGCAGTAAAATGGTCATCTGCATCAAAGCCATGAAGGTTTATGAAAAATCCATATTGGCCATTACATAGGCAGCTGTACAGAGTCAATGGGAACATGCAGTGTTTGGCTAAAGGCTATTTCCATGTCTGGGGTTTATCCTGCTGGTATTTCAACATTCACAGACATGTTGATCTCCAGATTATGTTTTTCCTCCCTCTCCCATTACAACTCTACACATGTTGGCCTCTAACATCCCATTTCACAACTGCAGTGTGTACAATATGTCCCTCCATATAATGCTTATCGTGATCAAACACATTGTGTTGTTATGGCACCTGTGTTGTGTCTCTGGATTGATGTTTTGGCTCCTCTGCTCTGAGAGTCAGACAGTGCCTTCCTTTTCTCGAGAGATCTGCTGTAGTATCAGTGACGTTGGGATTAATATCCTCGCTCTAACTTCTCGTGTCTCCTTGCATTTGCCTAATTGAGTCTGAAAGCACCAGCGGATGTGGAAGTGGATTTATGGCCATAGTCTTTGTTCTGCCTGCTACACCTGTGATTCATTGTTGATCATATCCAAGGGTGGAAGGGGTTTTCAACATAACGTTGCTGCTCTACAGCTTGTTTGGTTGTATCTGTTGTAGGAATCATGTATTAGCCTTATTGTGATCATAAATAACAGAGCAGTAGCTGGAATGGAAGACAAAGAGTTTGAGTTTGTGTGTGTGTGTGTGTGTGTGTGTGTGTGTGTGTGTGTGTGTGTGTGTGTGTGTGTGTGTGTGTGTGTGTGTGTGTGTGTGTGCGCGCACAGATGTTGCAATCTCCCCACTCAGACGTGCTTCACGTCAAAACACAGACTAATAAGCCGCTGATTATTGTGCCTTGAGAAGATTTTCTCCAGCTATTGACCCAAATACTTAATTTGATCGGCTTTGCTGTGAATGTATTGACACATTTTCTTCTCCTGTTAACTCCCTTTCCCTCTAATTCTCTTTAGCTTGTGTTGGCTGGTATATACAGTAAACAGTCTGGCTTTACTCTCCTCTCATTGTTTTACCTTTTTTTTTTGTAACTACACAGCAAAGCCACATTACAATCAAATGTTGTTATTGATACCAACTTTTATTGTGAAAATTGGCAAGATCATGTTAGTAGAAGTATTCAATCAGATGCTTTGGATTTGAAATAGGAATTTAGTCATCATTTAAACGCATTTTAATCATCCAAACATGTGATTCTTGCTAACAATCATCTGTTCTATTTTATAGTTGATCTTGTTTTAACCGCTGATAATTGTTGAGTACATTTTTCTAAAAGGATACATGTTGAATAGATAGGGGTGTAACGGTTCACAGAATTCACGGTTCGGTACGTACCTCGGTTTGGGGGTCACGATTCGGTACGGGTTCAGTACAACAAGAAAAAGCAAAAAGAAGTCCCAAATGCATAATTCCAGTTTCAGTGTAAAAATAAGGAACTCTAATATTTTGAATA